AAAAAGTAGTCTTTTGGAAGGGAGATGTTCGATATTATCAGAAACACGTGATGTAGTAAGGCAGGAATTCATGGAATGTAAAAGGAATTATAAGCAGGTCATGTTAACGCAGAAGAGCAAACTATGCAGAAATAACAATACACATTCAATAATGAAATGAACACAGTTCCTAAATTTATTAGGAAAAAAGCTTCATTTCTAATGTTGATAAACACCGGTTGAGCAGATTTTCTGTATCAACCAACTGAATGAGGAAAATATATCACGAGTACCTCTTCAAAGCTGAAGCCTTGCTTCCCTACACGGTTATTCTTTAGAAACCCAGTTCTGATGATGGTATAAGGGATTCCAGAGGCCTTCACCATGCTTTCATCTTGCTCTGCTAATTTTCTTGCATTGCTATTCATCATTGCTTGAATTCCACTAGTATTTCTATAGACAGACAACTAAAAACTTACCAAAATTGTAATCTAAACATATGTTATTTTGTGGTCACATAGTTCATCCATAGGATGCACATTAGGGATACCTGAGATAACAGGATCACGTGTTGTAAACCTTTCCACCTATCAACATTAGTTAGAAATCCTTCCTGCATATATGCATAGGTTCGTCAAATAGTACATCACGTAAACACTGAGATAAAGAATACGTCTATATTGAACATTAGAAAAAGGTTGTTAACTATTAATTTTGTCTGGTAATGTTCACGCAATCATAGTTGTGAAAAAGTAACAGGAGAATACAATGCCATATATCATGGGCGGATCCAGGGACGAGCTGGACCGTGCTACAACCTGTCCCTTCGGTCCAAATGTCCATTAAAAAAAAAAATTAAGTAAAATATATATATTTTTTAGGTGCAATATTTTACTTTTTTTTATACGTATTAGCCCGTATTGAATTTTTTCCTAGATCTGCCACTACCTTAATCGATGCAATCAATGGTTCGTTGTCGACCTTTTGTAGTGAATAGGACAGATATGGAAGCAAAGACTCATTCGGATCCTTGATTTTTTCTTCCTTCTTTCTGGTTCTGTTGTGTGAGTATATGATTTATTGTTCCTTATTCTGGTTTCTTCTTCCGTTTTTATGGTTTTCGTTCAACGGTGTGTGGTCAGAGAGGGTTTTGTATGTGGTGAAGAGGGGAGAGAGAGAGGGGGAGATTGGATACGTGAATAGATGGAAGACTTGATAAGATAGAATTTTTAGGAAATTTAAATTCCATAGAAAATAAAATCTCACTTCACCCAAAGAAAATATTTTCTTTGTTTTCAAGAAAAATCTAGTTACGTGATTAAAAGTGGGAAAATATTTTTCACGAAAAAAATAGTTAATCAAACAGCACAAAAATGAGAATTTAGGTGGAAAAAAGATATTTTTCATGAAAAATATTGGCAATGAAAGGCACCTCAGTATGATTGTGTAACAATAATAGAAGGTTTGGATCCAATTGCTCATTTTTAAATACTTATAATCCAAATTATGGTTTGGGCCATAGGTTGGGGATCAATATTGCAAATCTCACATTTAATTTCCTTGCAAAAGAAATAAGACTCCCTCGCGTTCCACGTTGGTGTCTCCACTGGTGCACCCTCTCTCCCTGTATACTCAAAATTAGGGTTTTTCTTCTTCCTCACTTCCAAGTCCTCCAGGATCCAAATCACCTTCTCAAATCTCGAGCTCTCTTTCTCACAATTTTATATAATTTATTAGCGCTTGCAGATCTGTTCACCTCTTTCAACCTTTCTCTTTCCTTCCGTACATAACGCACGCGTATCTATACACGCCATTCGATATGTTTTGGAAGCTCACAGCCCTTTCCGCTTCTTCACCTGTAAGTCAAGAAAAAATTATCGAACGACATGTATATATCGGAGCAATTTGAGGCCACTATGAATTATAACGTTCTGTAGTTTTTGGGTTGAACTTGATTTGTTATCTTCAGAATTGAAAAACAAAAGTCATTTATATGATGGAGTAATCTGAGGCAATTATAAGTAAATGAAATAAACTGGACATTTCTATGTTGGAGTAAGTTGAGGCAATTATAAGTGTCTCTATTTTTGGGTTTGATCTGTTCTATTCATCAGTGGAAAAGATACCTGACATTTCTATTTTAGAGTAATCTGAGGCAATGGTTTGCATTTTTGGGTTTATTTTAACCTGTTCTCTTGAAGATATTTAATTAGTGAACATTTATTTATTATTTTTTTTTTTATGGTTCCTGTTTATTATTGAAGATGGTTGGTTGGTTAGTCGATTTGCTTACTTATTGCTGTAAATGAGCAACTTTACATCTTGACTACTTTTTTTCCCTATTTTTATTTTTTACATTTTTAATGCTTGCTTTTAATTTCTATGAAGGAATTCAATTCCAATTCCAAGTCATTGTTAGTTAAGAAAATGTAACCAAAATAAAAAATAAAAAATGGTGGAAAACAATTTTGCTCTCTTATCTTTTCTGCTGTATTTTATATTTCATGAAAGAATTGTAGAAATAATTGGTTGCAATTTTCCTTCGTTTTAAACCTTAAACTGAATAGATATTTATTAACAAAAAATTGTTTTTATGATTGTTTCAAGTGTAAATAAAACTATTGATCACCTAACTTTGCGCGAAATTTTGAGTTGGTCACCCATCTCTATTTTGTTTTAACTTAGTTGCTGAACCATGGTTTTTATTTCAATTTGATCACTCCATCAAACAATTAATGGAAAAGCTGATGTAGACTTTGTTTTACTGTTCTACTCCTCCTTTCAAAAGATGGGATGGACCATGAACGTTGAAGTAGTTTACCTCGTAATTTTCGATTACCAATGATGGCAAGTGATGCTTGAATCATCTATTTTTCTTAACTGATTCTATTTTGATCTTTGGAAACCTCATTTGCCACTGCTTTAATCGAGCTGTTGAACTCTGTCAGCTGTATTTGGTAATGCTTAGTCACTTTAAGGGCTTGAATTTATGGACCGCCATTGTTTTTTGATTAAATCTGCTTACCTAAACTCGGCTAGGGCTGTAAAATGACCAAAGCAGTTGACCTATCATAGGGCATGGCCGTTTGAGACTTGGTCAAGCCAGGCTTGTAAGTTGAACGAGTCAAAACTAAAGATTCAGTCTTACTCAAGCCTGCAGTATTGTCTAATTATGAGCCCTATTCATGTTTGGCTTGATGAGCAAAGTAGTTCTCGGTTCTCAGAAATATTAGACTATTCCAGTTGGCTTATCTTTAGCTTGGCAAAGGCTTGGTCAAAATTTACTTCAAAAATAAACAAATCAAGTTTAAGCTTCACTTGAGGCTCACTTGTTTATAACCTAAATGTGATAGATTTCCTCTTTTTTATTATTATTATTATATATATATATATATATATATACACATTTTTTTTTTTTTTTTTTTTTTAAGGTTCAGTTTAAATTTCCCATCTGTTAATAAGGACAAACTATAACTCTTCTGACTGGTCTTTAATCGTTTTCTCCTGGTTGTGTTTCCTTGCTTCTTTTTTTTCTATTTATTTTTTGACATATTTTTTGGGATCTTTAGGTCGAGTCCGTGTTGGACAAGGAAGGTTTTACATTGGAAGAGCTTTTGGACGAGGAAGAGATAATCCAAGAATGCAAAGCATTGAACAGTCGCCTCATAAACTTGTATGCAACATTTTCTTCTCAGCTGCCCATCCTTGTTTTTATTAATTCTGACACACCTGTTAACTTTAACGGTTCTGGAAGATGATACAAAGTTTGTTGGTGTCTCAGTTTACAAGACAGGGCTCAGATTGAGCAGTTGCTTCAATATATTGTTGAACAGCCCCCAGAGGATGCAGATAGCAAAAGAACTTTCAAGTAGGTCAATGTGATTTTGAAGCAAAAGAATAAGCATGTTATTTATCATGTTCAAGTTATGCCGTAGCTTCTATTTGTAGTTTCTACATGCATTTCTCGTTCTAGATTTGTTCTTTAAATAGACTATCATTTAGTTCAAGAATATTGTATTGGGTTCTAATTTTTGTTTCATAATGTAGGTTTCCCTTCATTGCTTGCGAGATATTTACTTGTGAAATCGATGTCATCTTAAAGACTTTGGTGGAGGAAGAGGAGGTCAGGTCATCATAGCAAACAATTGGAAAATAATATCTAAATGTCAGATTTGATTTGCATCTCCCTAATGATTCAGCTGTACACTTTATGTTATTGCAGCTTATGAATTTACTCTTCTCTTTTCTCGAACCTAATCATCACCACAGTTCGATGTTGGCTGGATATTTTAGTAAGGTCTGCATTGAATGCTTTGTAAGCCTTGTGGGTTTTTTTTATTAAGGGTTTACCTAATTAGCATTATGGCAAAAGCAATTAGTTTGACTTGATTTCTGTGGCATTGCAGGTCATAATATGCCTCATGATGCGGAAGACTATTCCACTTATGAATTATGTGAAGGTGACTTGAGTAATCCTTCAACGAAGTTTTGCATTTTGCATGCACTCGAACTTATACCTTATATTATTCTAAATATAATGAACTTTTTTTTGTTTGGAGAAATTATGGCCTTGTTTGAGCCCCATTATATCCTCGTTAAAATGAAAAATATGACCGTTATACATCACATCAAACCACCATATTTGACTTTTTATCCCTTGTGTGGGATCCATAACGGCTATATTTTCCATTCTCATTTTTACAATAATATGGCTCAAACGAGGGCTATGTAACATTTTGTGAGATTGTGCATTCACCTACTCTTTTTCTTTTGTCATATAGTCTGGATCTTTGTATTATACTTAATTATGTGCACTAGACGTGCTTAACATCTATGCCAGCTGTAACATGAAACACCTTATGATATGCCATTCCTGTACTGGATTAATATAGAAATTAAAAATACTGTGGTTACCTTCTGCTCCAGTTATTAGCGCTTGGTTGAATAAAAGAACCAATTATCCATTTTCATCTTATCAGTACGAACATAGTTTTCGAACCTTGGTATTTGGTTAATATTAGATAAGTCGTGTGAAAGTTGATAATATATCATTTGAGTAGATATTCTGTACTTTAATAAGATTTAAGAGTTTCTAGAAGCAGATTGAAATGTCTGGATTGAATGATGAGATGAAGGATCTCCTATTGTAAATCTTTAATCAGTATGGATCTGCTGAAATATGAGTACAATGTCAATGGAGAACATTTAAGGTAGATTACGAAGTTAGCTCATGGATTAGTTGATCGCTCAAGCCATATGGAGGTTCTGGCTTTTAAGAATTCTATTTTATCTCTCTTTTCCTGGGGTGGTGGTGTTGATTATTCTCCCAGCTATAGTACTACGGGGTGTGACAGAATTTTATTAGAACTTTATACTGGGAAGGCATTTGTCTCTTCTGATGCTTCTAGGCTACTGGCCACAACCATAACATGACATGAACATACTGATGTAGTTTTTCAAACATGTTTAACATGGAGATGATGATTAAAATACTTTAAAATTGTACATTTATATATCTTATGTAAAGTGTATATACTTTAATAAAGTGAATACTCTTTTTTAGACCTGATTTTGAATTTTGCTAGTGAATTTTTTTTTTAGAAATTGAGAAGTGGCCATTTGTTGTATAATGCTTTGGGTTATATTTGTATTGCTGGTGCCAACAAAATGAGATCCTTCATGTATCAAGAAGCATGCACAATATATATAAACCAATTTGACATGAAGATCGCATTTTAACTTTATTTTTAATTTTTACTTGAATGTGTTAATACCGAAATTGACCTTATTTTAAAATCTACAAAATGGGGCTTACAATGCACTTGACACGTTGTGTACCTCATGCTTAGTAATTATAAAAAATGATAATAATAAATATAGGTTGTGGCGTGTTGGATATGTGTCGGAGGCATGTCAAAAGTCTAAAAAATTAGGACAAGCCTCATGGCGTGTCGGACACCTGACACTTCACCCCAGAGGAGTATATGTGCAGTGCTTAACCGTTTCTGGGCTGTCAAGTAGTGGCTTCCCTAAAGCTGATTGGAGCTTGGCAGTATTGATCACTGGGGAAACGATGCTTCTTGCCCATATTTATAGTACCTGTCTGAATTTGCGAGAACCGATTTGGTGTGAGTTTAATGATGGGAAGTTTAATGTGTCAGGAATTATTTATAGCCTATTTTTGCTGACTATGCCTCCGTTGGAAGAATCTATACACAGATGAAATTATAAGTTGATAGAAATGAGTGTTGGATAAGTGAATAGCACTCGTGGTCTATTGGAACGTGTGACTGAAAATGAAGTTTAACCTTTTATAAATGATTTATCAATTTTGCCAAACGGAGGCTGTATTGGCGAAACATATACTCCATGAATGATAGGAAGGAAGTTAGAACTCTATTGTTTGAAGCTTGTTTCTCATTTCTTTTGTTTCAGTTAACAGCCATCCTTCTGACTATATTCTATTTTCTGGCTACTGCTGGTTCCTTGCAGACCCACCAAGATGTTTTCAAGCAGATGGTTGACTTGATTGGTATCACATCCATCATGGAGGTTGTTGTCTTATATTTATATTGTGAATTTTTCCGTGAGCAGATTCTTTGTTTAAAAGCTTATTCATTAAAGATTATTTGAGCTGCTAGTGGAGGACGATCCTCTCTCCTCATTAGTTCTTTATTTTCAGGTCTTAGTGCGACTTGTAGGTTTTGACGATCATTTCTACCACAATTCTTTGGATGTAATGCAATGGTTGGCTGATAGCAATTTATTAGAAATGATCGTGGATAAACTTAATACCTCTGTAAGTTATAAAACTGGTATTATGGGTCTATGGTTTATGCATTAATTTTTTTTCCTTCTATTTACAAGGTTGGACTTGTACGGTCAGTTCTTTTTAGCTTAGGTTGATAGTTAGAATTAGGTTCGTATATTTATTGATTGCTATGTAATATTTAACTGTGTTCTTAACTGAGATTCTGTGAACGCAGCATCTCGGAATTTGTGGATGTGCTACTTCTGTCTCATTTTTTGTGCATCCAGTGACATATTCACTGAACATAAATGATTGTGTTGCACCACCAGTGCTGTGTGAATGCCACTGAATGTGGTTTTCTGGGCTTTGGTTGTTAACTTCACTCAATTGTTGTTTTAGGTTAGTGGTTACCAAATAGTAACAACTGCTGATTCTCAAGTTTGGTTTGACCACATGATATACATTTATGTGTCCATCTTCTCGTGGAGCCTTAATATTCAGCTCCTGATTTGCCTTATTGTTTATCATTTATTCCAGATATTTTTATTTTTATAGATTATTTACTTATTATATAGAGTGAAGAGCAAGAATTCCATGCATAAGCAGATGTATTTTGTGAATTTGTGATCATCACTTTTGGATTGTTTAGGAGAGGACATTTTTTTAGCGGCTTATTTGATAATGAAGGTTGCGTCACTGATGTCAGATAATCCGCCATCATGCTTTTGGGCTTATAATTCTCACTCTGTTGTTGTTTTTTTTTATTTTTTTTGGCCCATTTTTGGTTTTGCCATTTTATGGATAGCCTTTAAGTTGCAATTAAAAAAATGCAATGTTAGGGTGTGTAGGCTTTCTTTTGCACATTATGTCAACTTGTTTATTAACTGCATATTTTGCTAGACTCTGAGGTTTCCGTTCGTAAGTAGATCAGGTTTCAGGAGGCTGGCATAGACCAAAACTAATATGTCTTGTGGTGGTTGCTAAGAATTTAATTGCTTTGTATCTTTCAGTAAAGGTAGCAGTGAATAGAAGGAAGTGGTAAAAAGGAATAATGTAACCAACCACTAATTTATTGAGATAAACGCTTAGTTGCGATTCTTTACTAAGGCCATGTTTGACCCACATTCTTTCAAAAAAAACACATTCTTAAACATTAATTTGATATTATTTTAACCACATATTCTTCAATAAAATGATATTAAACCAAAATCCAAAACTTTTCTTGTTTTGTAACCTCACAGTTCCCATCAATACACTATTCAAAAATGCATTCTTATGGAAATAATGTGGCTCAAACAAGGGTTAAATGTTCACCAAACGCATACAAGTTATGATTTTGTTTGTGAAGGGACCATTCTAAGTCTCAACTGATGGTTTTCTATTTTCTCCAGAATCCTCCTGAAGTACATGCCAATTCCGCAGAAGCATTATGTGCAATAACCAGAAACGCTCCATCAGCTCTGGCCACTAGACTATCCAGCCCAAGGTATTTATGACTTTCGTTTTAATGTTATCCTCCAGTCCTGAATCAGTTTATCGGCCTCACATTTGTATTAATGAAATATTTGATCACTTTTACTGTGCAGTTTTGTTGCAAGGATATTTGATCATGCACTTGAAGACTCGCAGTCAAAATCTGCCCTTGTACATTCGTTGACTGTCTGTATTTCATTATTGGATCCAAAAAGATCTATTCCTTCTACTCTAATTTATTCTTTCAGAAATCAAAACATGTATGAATCACCAATACATGTTAATCCTGATACTATCGGTGCAATGCTTCCCAAACTTGGTGAGTTTTATACTGGAATAGTAGACCTTTTCTCCTTCTAATTTGTTATGTACATTGTATGATACTATTTCTTAAGTTTAGTAAAAAAAGCTAAAGGAAATGGTCTTGATTTGCTTTTGCCTATATTTTGACTTTTATGCTATAGTCATGGATCATATACTTGCTGTCATACTAAAGAGCACAATGTTGAGTGACAATTTTCATTTGTACTTAGCCCCAGTTTGATGGCCATTAATTTGGAAAAAATAAAAATAAAAAATGATGTTTTGAATAATGATTTTTTTGGAGAATGTGTAGTTAAAAAGTTGGAAAAGTTTTGGGTTTACGTGCAAAATATTTTATTGTGTGAATGTGTGGTTGAAAATGAGTGTGAGAATTAAAAAGTTTTATTTTAAAGGGAGACAAACAGCGGCTTAATGTTTAGTGCGCTAATATTTATGGAGTTTTTGGGAAGAAAATGCGTAAGCAGCGGGATTTGTGTAGCGTCCCACTGAATGTTGTGTTTGTGGGGGAGTAGCACTTTCTAGAGACATATAGCTATGTGATCTTTATAAATATTTGCATCAAAATTCTTGTGATTGACTTGTTATGTTGCATGACATGGTATTCAATTGTAGGCTTCAATGTATAATCTGAAGTAAGTATATTTTACTTCAGTACCTAAGAGAAGTGTTAATTAGACTAAAGAAATCTTCTTTTCCTAAAATCTATCTTAGTTTAGAAGAAGATACCTATGCAGCCTTTGACACTTTTGAATTGACGAGGAAGGTTTTTTGAGAAATCCGCCTTGCAGAGAGGTAATAAGTATTTTAACTATTGTAGGGCAAAGGGCATATGGGAAGAGAGAGAACGGGGAGGGATACGGGGGGAGAGGGATATTTTCTATCATGTGTCTTCTTTTTGCCAGCTTTTTATCTCCCTTTTTCACATGGGTGTTGGGGCTAAACCATCCCTTCATTTATATGATTTTTTTTTTTCAGAAATTGCCCAAGGTTTACACCTTGAGACATGTCATGACCTTCATTATTAGCCTTGAAGCTCACGCTTGATTACTTTTTATGAAGGCCTTGAATTCTTGCTATTTTTTCTTGCTATCACTGGCCTCAAAATTTGGGCTGTTCTTTTTCTTCTTCCTCAGAGTAGAATGTTTTAGGGGTTTTAAGCTGTTTTAAACACAACCCTGCCCTGAAAATTAGAAAGGAAGCTGGCTTTCCCCAGCCTCCTAGAGCTTGTGTGCAATAAAGCCATCTAATAAGTGAAGTTGCAACTTTTTAGCAGCAGACTTTTGATGGGAGAATGCAAACAATATGTATTTACCATTTCCTTTCTTTTATATTTTTGTTGCTATGTCTTATATATATATATATATATATATCTATAATTTTTTTTTTTTTTTGTCGCTATGTGTTTCCTTTTTCTTTTCTTTCAAAGTCAACATGCAACAAAAACTTGTGAATATCTGGTTATTTTATTTATTTGTTTAAGCTTTTAGATCTACTTGTGGGTTAATTATCTTGGGATGGCTATTTGTTTATTTATTAATTGTTAATTAATGAATCTTCAGTTTTGAGTTGCAAATCCGACATACTATATTAACAATGGTGAATTTTTAAAATGGTGTATGGTTTATTATGAATATCTTTTTGTATCTTTGTCGATTTTTGAATTTTTTTTTTTATTTTTTTATTTTTTTATTTGTTTATGTGTGAGACTGATGCCTTAAAGCACTTAGGGGTTTATATTATAGCCTCACCAAGGCAAAATACCTCAATACCCTATGTAGGCTTTTCAACTAACAGTACTAATTAGCATTTATGTATCTTATCATGCAGAGCACTTGCTGTTGCTGCTGACCGTGTCTTTTGATGAGATGATTCTACCTACAACATATGGTGAATTAAAGCCGCCTCTTGGGAAACACCGTTTAAAGGTTTGTTAACATGACTTGTGGTTTATTTCTCCTGCAATCCTCAAATGATGTGTGCTTCTGAAATCTTAGTTGATGACAAAAAACAATATGCTATAATATTACACCTGTATGATAAGGATTGAAGCAACCTTATCCAAGATTTGACTCTAATTTCAATTTATTTGTTATTCTGTAATGTGCTGCTCAAAATTTGCTAGGTATCCATATTTTCTTTGAACAAAATATATCAATGTCCGACATTTCTGGCATGGACAATGATTTACATATTTGTGTGCAGTCTGTACTATCATACTCATTCTTGTTTCGCAAGACATGAATGAAAAAGCTAACGACAATCTCCCTGATTATAGATTGTGGAATTCCTTGCGGTGTTGCTGAAAACTGGTAATGAGGTGGCTGAGAAGGAATTGGTCAGCTCGGGGACAATTCAGAGAGTCCTTCATCTCTTTTTTGAGTAAGAACTTTTTATTATTATTTGTTTTTACTTTCCCAAATGACACCGGATTAGTTAGTTGATTTCCAATAAAAGAGTAGCTTTAAGTTTTAATCTTGTTTTGGCGGAGCTTGTAGATGCACTTACATTTTATTGCTACATGTTATTTATCAGGATGTTACATTTCTTGATGCAGGTATCCATACAATAACGCGCTGCACCATCATGTTGAAAGTATTATTTACTCATGCTTGGAAAGCAAAAATAATGCCATCGTTGATCATATTCTCCAAGAATGTAATTTGATTGGGAAAATTCTTCAAACAGAAAAAAATCCAACACTTTCTGGTGAACTTAATGAGGTAGACGAATGACATTTTCTTGATTTTTCTTCACACTGTCATGCTGTGGCGTGTTGTGATCCTTTCTTTGTTGAGCAAGGTGCAGTTGGTATGCGCACTTTTGAGAATCTGAAAATTAAGATTGCAAATGATGCGGTTCAGGGATGAGGGAACTTTTCGTCTATTTTAAGCACATCTATTGTATTTGTAAAGTGAAATAGTTATCTTGGTAGAATATGATGTTCTTGTTCCTTGCCTTATCCTTCGTGGCTTGAATTGAAATTATGCAATAATGTGTTTCATTAATGCAGCCAACTTTGCCTGCTACTGGAAGACAGGCACCTCGAGCAGGATACTTTGGACACATAACGCGGATATCAAACAAACTTGTTCAGTTGGCAAACAACGATAATTGCATTCAAAAACATCTTCAGGTTTGTGATATGCTGAAGACTTCCTTTAGGTTTATGGCATGTTCTAGTATTTTTTCCCCCCAACAAGCATTTCAAAGTGTGTTTTTTGCTAACACTTAAGACAAGTGCAACCGAGCTACTATTTTTTTTTTTTTTTTTTATGGGGGAATTCAAATATTTTTAACTAGCTGAATTGTTAAAAAGTGGTACAACAGACTACTATTGCTTTCTGCGTATGCAATTCTTTGGATCAGACTTTTAGCATTTTTGTCTACTGGCTGCAGTATTCTGTTCTAAATCTGGGAGGTTCCGAGCTTCTGCATAATCATATCATCAGATGATCTATTACAGCTTTGTTTGGTGGCATAACCTATATTCCAAAGTCATCCTGTCAAGCTGCATGTACCAACTTTTCCATTACAGCACATGCCGATTTGTCTCATTTCATATTTTTATTAAATCTCTAATCATTGGAACCTAGGGTTGCTAACTATGACAAACAGAGGGTTTATGTAAAAATAAATTTGTGGTTGCACAGTAAATTATAAAGTTCTAGGTTATTCTCCTTTGCTAATGCAATGCTATTTTGTGTGCTCTAGGAAAATAACGAATGGAATGAGTGGCAGACTACCGTCTTACAGGAGCGTAACATGGTTGAGAACGTCTACAGATGGGCTTGTGGGTATGTTTTTTAAATGTGTCTGGCGCTTTTGCTTTCACATGAGATGGCACTGATGGAGGAGGTTATCATTTTATCATCCAAATATTTTAGGGCGACATTATAACTGAAATTTAAGATAGTATCCTGCCTCCTAAAGTTGTAACCTTAAAGAGAGTCCGGAACTTATGAAGTTAATATGAATAAAGAACTTTCTATTTTGTTGTTACTTTATATCTAACTTTGCAAAGTAGTTTTGTTAGAGAACACCGACTGTCCCTGTCTGTTCTACTGAGAAGTCTTTGCATAGAAATGTTTGAATATTTAGTAATTTCTGAAAAGCTTGATTCATTTTGGATTTGTTGTCTGCAGCCGGCCTACTGCATTGCAGGACAGGAACAGGGATAGTGACGAGGAAGATGTTCACGACAGGGATTATGATGTTGCAGCTCTTGCAGATAATTTTAGTCAAGCATTCAGATATACTATATATGAGAATGATGATGCAGAGGTTCTCCCTATACCACCCACCCAATCTGCCGCCCCCCCCCAACCCCATCTATCTGTCACCCACAAATACAAAAAAGAAAAGTCTTCCACACAAGCAAGCTGAAATTATAAATAAATCATTCCTATCATTTTTATTATGGTTTTCATGTCTTTACTTCAGGGTCATGAATCTCTTGATCGAGACGAAGAGGTAAATATGCTTATTCAACTTGATTCTTCTTGCTTATTGACAGTCATGAAAATGCATGGTTTAATTTCATAATCAGAGCCCTCCAGTTATGAGGAACAACTTTTCATTTCCCTCTATAAATTACCCTGTGCTGAAGATTGGATATGAAAATGCAGGACACTTACTTTGATGATGAATCTGCGGAAGTCGTGATTTCGTCCCTAAGGTTGGGTGATGATCAGGGGAGGTGAGTATCATTCCACATGTCAAAGTTGAAGTTGTATGAAGAAATAATGTTAAATGCTTTAGGCAGTTTTTTATGTCCCAATTCTATTGCAGCTTGTCCATAATGCCTCCTGCAATAACTATCCTCAAACATCTCAAGCTAGAACATATAAAAAGCTTTGTAATTGTAAACAAGGGTCATAAATATAAGAAGGTACTGACAATAAAAATAACAAATGGGAGTTTCTGTTTAGAACTTAGAACATATGCCCCACAGAAAAAAAATAAAAATAAATTTTAAGTAGCATTCTGTTTTATGCATATTATATATCCCTTGGGGTTTGGTAGCTGGCCTTCATGGTTCTTATGGATGATAAATTCAATTTTGTATGGCATTGTTTACATTTTTACAGCAGTTTGTTCACAAATTCCAACTGGTTTGCTTTCCAAGATGATGGAGGTGATGCTCCAATGAGCACCTCACCGTCCAATATGACTGATGAGATCAACTTGAATGGAACGTCAAATAGTGGTAACAGTAGCAGTGATGATGAGGTAGTTGTTGGAGAAGATGAGGAACTGTGTGATATCGAGACTTCTGCTAATGGCTCGTCCAGTTCCGATGCCAATGTATTAACTGCACTGGAAGGAATCAACTCTATAAATGGAGGAAACACGAGTTCCCAGGATGAGAAGGTTGGTGCCTCTAAGGATTTGAGTTCCTTCCATTTTGAGACATCCAACGATGCAGACGTGCTTGGCGAGAACTCATTTGATGACAAAAGCAACACTGGCACCAATCTTGCCAATTCTCTGGAGCCAATTGCTACCCCAGTTAGTTCAACTTCAAGTGGAAGTTCTGCAGATTCTTCCAGTGATTCTTCAACTAAATCTTGTTCTAGTCATAAAGCTGTTGCTGTGCCCTCTTTGTTTGAAGAGGACGTTGAATTTGTAGGTGTGGAATTAGAGGGTACCGAGAAGGCAATGGAGCAAGCCCTCAAGGAGGGGATTGTTGGGGAAGCAGGGCCTTTGAAGAGGAATATTGTTCCAAAGATGCCAGAAAAGGAGGAATCAGATGATGGTGGAGCAGGGATAAAGGAATTCAACGACTCAAACTATTGGAGAGTTGATCAAGAGGTTACAGTATTGGAGTAAGGATGGGATCAGTTCTTTAAAACCTTTGAACTTGGTGTTGACATCCCAACAAGAGGAACCCATTCTCATTTGGCAGGTGGTATGCACTATTGGCATGTTTGGTAAGTTTGATTAGACAATACTGGACAGTATTGAGTAAGATAAGAAGTTAAAATCTTGTTTGTTGTACGTCCAGTTTTGTCGAGTATTACGTACCAAACATGCTATATATGTACACATAATTTGTGCTCCATTGGGATCACATCCAGGCTATATATGGTTACCAATCAATATTGTTAGACTATTTCATTGTTTTAGAGTGGCTTCAGTTTTTTTGTAAAAGATTTTACGGGCTTTCCCATCAACTCATCAAATTCTTTGTTTTCCCCTTGTCAAGTTACACATTGATTCATCAATGTGTAATGTGGAATATAAACATACAAATGGGTTGAGTCAATTGTTGGTGCAGAACTGGTGGTTCATTAGCATAACTTATTTCATACTCGTGTTGAGATGAATTCTTGATCTTTGCCTAGTGCACGTCAAAATTCTGACTGCAATTACAGCACAATCTCTTGAACAAGAAGGTATGATCCTCAAGGGTGTGTAAATTAATTATTTTGCACAATTCTAAGTAACATTGAATGTTCATCACGGTAGTGGTAAGCTTGTTTTGAGTTTCTGCAGGGTTTTGAACTTCAGGCTTGGAGCAGGTGTGTAAGTTTTGAAGATCCCTTCATATCAGACGACTCTCTGATAGGGATTGCAGGGGCGGATCTAGGAAAAGTTTGAAGATTGGCTAATACGAAAAATTCGCGTATAAAATTTTTTTTTATTTTTATTTTTTTTTTCCTTTCAATAATGAATTGGGCTGGGGGGACGGGTTGTAGCACAGTCCAGTTCCCATTAGCTCCGCCATGAGACTGGGATGATGAACGTGATCGAAGACCGGTTGGTATCAAAACAGGATGAATGAAATAGTTCGTCCTAGTTCTACCTTTAGCCTCTTTTTTCTTGAAGAATGGTTTTTAGTTATCGAGTGATTTAGAGTTCTTTTTGCTCCCGCCCTTTTTGGGTTAGTACTTGAAGATATCACGAAAAATTATGGTGGAAGATAGTTTAGCTTAGTTCCTTGAGCTTTTAGGACACTAATTCTTGGTTTGATGAAACCATTTCACGAATTCATGCCAAGCGTGTGTTTGGGCAAACGTATTTTAATTGGTGGACCTTGCATGATACGTATATGCATTCCACCAACTACTGCTTGAAATAAAATAATAGTTTTTTGAGTCGGGTTTTTCTCGATTTTAATACTTGGAACCAATTGGAATGGACGATTCTGTTAATTTTCACTTAGCTCTAATTTCATTTGATCGATCATAAATTAGATTTAACCATCTCAGGTGCTCTCGTGTCTTGACTTTTAATTATTGCCCAACACTTGACATGTCTATACAACCGTTGCAGTTACATTTGATCACTAAGATACTTGCAAGATCTTTTGTCCATTAGTTATCTACTATGTTAACTACACCTACCTAAGAATACCAACCGACCATCGCTCTGTTCTCGACCAATGTTTGTAGGTACACCTCGTAACGTCGCTAAAAAGTTCAAATTTGAAAGTGTGACAATCTATATTATACAATAAAAGTAGATGTAGAAATCTTTCTAATAGTGGGATTCAGAGCAACTAAATTGAAGCTTACAAAATATGTTTCGTTGCACTTAAAACTTACTTTATTTAAATGGTCAAAGTGAATTATTATTTGTAATCACGTATTTCGCATTGATCAATTCAACTTTATTAAAAAAGTAAGTTTTGCGATTGAAAGTCAATTTAAAATTATGTTTTATAAGGTAATAATACGAAAGGAACTTTACATGTAAACGTGACGAAACATGCTGAATCTCACGGTATATATTACACGTTTGTCTAACTCTCAAGTATGCTTATGTGAGCTCCTTGTTCTGAATATCAAACTTTTGTCCTGGACGTGTTAATGCTCATAATCAAGGAATGACAACGTGACAATGATTAAAATATGTCAATTTATTTCTCTATTCTTGACTCCATTTATCTATTTTTTAATACTAAATTTTAATAATTTAAATTTAGTATTATTAAATGAACAAAAAAATAAAATAAAATAGCCATGTTGTTTCGAAATGAATGTGACCATTCAAAAGGTGCATAATAAATTCATGACCTTTTGATATGGTGTAATCCACGCTATTAAATATTAAAATGTGTGATATAAAAATCCACGTCTATATTTGTTTCGCTCGGGTTAATCGCTATCAATTAAAAAAGGATCAGACGATTGTGTAAGAGACAAACTTCTTGAAACAAAGTCCAAAAAAAGGGTGTTTTTATTGGCGATGACTTTACAATTGGAAAATAAAAACAGAATGCCTCCAAGGGGCGCAAGCACACGAGTTACTGAAAAGAAGTGTTTAAATCTAAACTAAGAAATTTAAAGTTACATATTCTCTGTTTGAGACTGTTTGATTCGGGGTCCTTTGCTCTATATCTTTTCTTCCTTTTATACTCCCTGGATGATCTCTTCGTGATCAACCGCTTAAAAACTGCTTGATCGCTCTATAACTGCCCACTTTCCTCGTAGTGGCCAACTTGTCATGGAACTGCCTTCTCTAACTGCTGCCATTACTTTTGTCGTTCAACCGTCTTTAATTGAATTCCTGGAATCGTGGAACATGATAGGGCTACTCAATAACCGCTTCATTAA